AGGTTATTATTGCTGCTGCTGTTAGAGGTATCAGCATTCTTGAGCCACTTACCATTGTAGAGAATTGAGAATCGCTTGCTCATACCTTTCCATACCATGCTTTTTGGAACAAGAAGGCGCCTTACACCTTGCTTCATCATTTCCAAAGCATCTATCAATCTACCAGAAGCACCAAAAAGTCATTTCCTGACAAATGTATATTCTAGGAATGCATCATAAATTGCTGTATTTGGTGCTACATCAGATCACATGACATTTTTTAACAATCTCACACTATATGAACTCTATTCTCTTATACGTAGATAACATTAACCAGGAAGAACAAATTGAGAAATCCCTTGAGATTTCTCCAAGAAAAAAAAAAAAAAAAACAGCTCAGTTTACAGGATGACTATGAAGGGAAAAGCAATTGCCAATATGGAGTGCACTCTGGCACAGATGTGTTTGTCCCTAAATACAGATTAACACACACATACACAGAGACAAACACACAACCCAAAGTTGGTGTCAAATAAAACAAGTACAAATATGAAGCCTATTTACATGGGAAAAATTATGTAAGCACCAAATATATCCCCCAAAAAATATATATATATATTACTCCCATTTCTTCCCTTTTCCCATTATTGCACTTGACGATCCAAGTCAACCAAGAATGAAGAAACCAATTTTCTCTGCCATTTAATAATACAAAACCACTACTCTTTACAAATACAAGATCATCATTGTTCTGCCAGCCCTTTTCCCCACCTTGGCAATCCCCACATATCTCACCTTTCTCCTACTCTACACTCTCACTTGACAGTCTGATGCATACAGCAAAGGAAGCAAAATTTTTATCTTTTGTAGACAAAGGTATTTCTGTAATTTCAAAAAAATCTAAAAATTTGTCTAAGTCTAGTTTTTGTTTTCTATTTAGTATTTTATTAGTCCGAAGGAGTAATTAGCTTAATTAGGTTTTCGTATTCTAAAATAGGAATAATTAGGTTACAGGTTTAGCGAACTTTGTCCTACTAGTATTTGGACTTCTACAACTCTATAAACACAGTATCTTTCAATATTCAGGATGCAATAATATCAAATAATTTTCAACAATTTAGTTTTGATTGTGTGAATTAATTTCCCTTAGGTGTGATTCTTAAGAACTCTAAAGGTGAAGCTTAGGTTTTTTCTATCCTTTAGGTGTGACTCCAAGAATTCTACCCACATATTTTCTTATATTGCAGCCTACTTCAATACAACCCTCAACACCCCCAAACAACCTCCAAAAATCTGATCCAAAACAGCCCCTACATTGTCTTGCATCATAGTCAAGGAAAGAGGTATTTGGATCACACCATGAATTAACAAGGCATGCTCTTAATTTAGAGGTTTATATTTTAGAGAACTCTTTTTATTTAGGTTGCATTGTACCTTTTTTTTTTTTTTTTTAATGATCAGGAATCTTATGTTAATCAATGTTTTACTCTCTTGATGATTAGGACCTTTGTAGTGCCTATCAAAGCACACATGTTCTATAATTTCGACTATCTAGCTCTTGAATCACTAATATAGCAAACAAATTTAATATCTATTCATTCAGTGACCAATTGGTGATGCAGAAGAGCTTAAGGGTTGTTCTGGATATGATCTTTGGAGAAGGTTTAGGGCTATTTAGGGCTGTATTGATGTGGATTTGTACTGAGGATTATAGATCTATTAGAGTCACACTAATAGGGTTTCTAGAAATCACACATAGAGGATAAAAAACCTAAACTTCACACCTAGGGTTTTTAGGAGTCACACCTAAGAGAAATTGAGTCACACAATCAAAAGCAAATTACTGTAAATTATTTGATATTATTGTCTTCTCAATATTGAAAGACTACGTATTGTATTTATAGAGTTGTAAAAGCCTAAATCTAATTAGAACAAAGATTCCTAAATTAAAAAAATACTAAATTTGCATAGAATAGGAAAAAATAAAGCTAATTATTACTCCTTAGGACTAATAAAATACTAAATAGAAAATAAAACCTAGACTTAGACAAATTTTCAGATTTTTTTGAATACAGAAATATCCTTGTATATAAAAGGACACAAATTTTGCTTCTTTTGTTGTCCGCATCATTCTCCTCTAGTTGGAGAAAACTCAACCTCAAGTTTTGTAGTGCCAAATTAATAAAAACCACATAAATAGTGATGACATCCTTACCTCGATGCGACACCTTTGAAATAGGAACCAAAAATTCTTCTTTGTTGGTGATAGTAATGATGATGTGACATTTCATTACCAATTTCACCATCAAAATTAGGAATAATGATGTCCACTTGTGTTGTCAATACCACTTTCTCCTTGCAATCCTTACTTTCATTAACTTTGTGCTCAAGATGTTTCTTCTTTGGTTCAATTGCAACCCATAGCTCTTTAGGCTTCATAATAACTTGATTAGAGAATTCATTTTCTTCTCTTTGACTCTCTACATTATCGTCAATTTGAAATTCCTTTGTTTCTTGTTTAATCTTCATTTTGGGAAGCAATTCCAGATTTTTCTGATCAACAAAAATATGTTGTGCTATGAGAGGCTCAGTGGCTATTTCAACAGGATTTGATCAAGATAGCCTTTATAAGCCTATCTAATGCTGCTTGCACCTTATTGAACCTAGCAGTAATGGATGTTTCCATTGAATTCAACCTAACTTCCGTTGAATGTAGTTTTGTTTCTAAATCTTGCTTGAATGTTTCAAATTTTGAATTCACTTCAGTGACGGTTATCATGGTTGAAGTAGAATGCAACAAAAAGCTTTTAGGATATTAAAGCTCCGATAGCAACTGATGCAGGACAGCTTAGGGGCTATTTTTTATCTGATCTTTGGAGGAGGTTTAAGGATGTTTAGGTCTGTATTGATGTGGATTTGTACGGGGGATTATAGAACTATTAGAGTCACACTACTAGGGTTTCTAGGAATCACACCTAGAGGATAGAAAACCTAAGCTTCACACTTAGGGTTCTTAGGAGTCATACATAAGGGAGATTGAGTCGCACAATCAAAAGCAAATTGCTGAAAATTATTTAATATTATTGCTTTCTCAGTATTAAAAGACTACATACTGTATTTATAGAGTTGTAGAAGTCCAATTCTAATTAAGACAAGGATTTCTAAATAAGAAAATACTAAATCTATGTAGAATAGGAAAGACTAAAGCTAATTATTACTCCTTAGGACTAATAAAATACTAAATAGGAAAAAAAAAACCTAGACTTAGACAAAATTTCAGATTTTTCAGAAATTACAAAAATACCTTTGTCTACAAAAGGACACAAATGTTGCTTCCTTTGTTGTCCGCATCAATTGGTCTATAGCAGCTGTCCCCTTTACAGAAAGGTCAGCTTGTTATGTGGATTCTGTAATGCCCAATTGTGGAAAACAGATGACAGATTAGAAAGGAGAAGGGTGTAACCAGCTACCCAACAGCCATAGTTAATAACTTGGTTCATGAGATCAAACCTTCTATTGAATCCTATCTTGACACTATGATGCATTGGGATAAAGAATATGAGAGAAAGAAATGCAATACATCCCATGGGATTGTTGCAAATCTTCTAATCTTCTCTTTCAATCTAATCTAATATAATATCTAATATATCTAATACAATGCAAATGGAGGACAAAACAACTTTGGTTCTTTATCTGTTGTCCATGTAGGATTTTAGACAGTTTCCATTTGTTTTGGGTAATTAATTAGGTGATTAATCCAGCCATTGTATGCAATTTGTTTTGGAGAGAATTTCTATGAAGATTATAATGAAAACAAAATAGTTTTGCTGTTTACAAAACAAGAAAATTTGCAACAGTGAGCATTTAAATGAGTGAATGTAAGTGGTCATGGAACAGAAAACAAAAAACAAATCAGCATTGGCAATCGTAACTTAAATGATTAAATGAGTGAAAGTATGTGGAAGGTTCTTGAGATTACAATAAAAGTAAGTTTAGATGAAGTAGTTCATGATCAATATTGTGCATTGAATCTGCATATGGAAGAGATAATGTTTTGGGAAGCACAAACAGACATTAATTTTATTACACAAAAAGATTTACATTTATGAAAATAAAAGGATAATGATTGGGAAGACAAAAGGTCATGAAAAAAAATATATAAAAAGGAGCCAGGACAGATGAAACACGCTTACAAAAAGGGAAAAGAAAATGGAAAGTGGGATCCTGACTTAAATGCAGCATATGGTTCATGGAGAAGAAGGATTTGCAAAGAAAGATCAGATGGGAGTGTTGTCTGGCAACAAGTCATATTATGGCATGCTTCGAGTCCTAGGCTATAGGTGGATAGATCCTCACTGGATTGTAGAGGCATGCCTTCCACTAATTCAACTCCTTAAATGATCCATAATCTAACATTCTCTCTATTCTGGATCACATGAAAGCAACTAGAAGAGCCATGCCATTGCAGTTGAAGTTGTGTCCCCAGCTCCCTGCCATGATGAAACTTATCACCATGTCTCTTATTACCTCATCTTCATGACCAGCCAATAAAACTCAGGAAAGAAGAACTTCAATGCGATCCTCTCCCTTTTCAATTATCTTTTTCATGTTAGAGTTTTTCTGAACTAGAAGCCTATATACAAACATAATACAACTAGGAATGCTTTAGCTTTTCTACTAGTGGAAAAAAATAGGGGAACCATTTTTATTTTTTTTATACAATTAGGCTCTTCTAGAAACCATGGTTTGGGCCAATTTTGTTTTCTACTCCGAGACAAATGCTCATGTTAATTAAGAAATCCAGCCTGCTGAATTTTAATTGAAAGAAACAAAAATATATCCAGAAATTTAAAAAACCCAAGAAACACCGCCATTGCAAACTACAGATCTCAGTCTAGTTCCCAATGAAGTTGTACATCCTTTGGTAACATTTTTTTTAGTGAAAAGCAAATAAACTAGACAGGTGGATAAGGCAACAGGAGTGAGATAATAAAATTGAAGAATGGAATTAATATAATACTTCAAGATGCACCAAAAAGAAGCTCAACATCGGCAATGACAAACACCACGAGCATAACATTTGCCAGATGGCAGAATAATGAGAGAAGTGTCAGCATGACCATGATTACAGCTCTGGAAAAAATAAAAACAATTACAAGGGTCATGCCAATTTGCAAGCACCAAGCACTTCATATGTGAAGAGAGAATTGAATTACTCCATACAATTTATTATCACATCAATGATAAGGAACACGGAAATTTTCAAAATACCAGCACAAGTGATAGTAAAAATGTGACAATTTTCCAGAGTTGGATTATGACTTGTAGTGAAAATGTAAAATTCAAAAGTTTCATATTTAAAGTATTTCACCAACCTCACTGTACCTTAAATTAGCCCTCAAGTGAAAGGTTCAAGGCTGGTTATAACAAAGTCTTCCAATACAACACAAGAAGAAAAGAGAAGAGACTGCTGAATTAAAGATAAGCAAAGAATTGAACCCCACAAACAAGTTATAAAACAGGAACAGACAACAAGAAGAGTGCATGATAACAACAACCAAGAAATTAAGATTCATAATCACATAGCAACAAATCCATAACTAAGTAGTAGTGTTAGAGAAATTAGATTAAAAGCTAACCTTGTAGCAGGATCAACCTGTTTGAGAAGCCAAGTATTAGGAACAACAACCTGAGAGACTGGAGTCTTGATGGCCTTATCCTGATTCTCCAAGCACTCACTTGAAGCTAAAAAAGCCACAATATCAAGAGAATTTAAAATACCAACAAACCTCTGTTGTCTTATTTCACTGTTTTCAATCATGCCCACATGAGATTTCCTCTTCCAAACTGGAATCCCACACTCTGTCGACTCTCCAATCGCCCGAATCGCAGATTCTACCGTCTCTGTCTCATAGAATTCCACCAACTCTGGCTTCCCCACCGTCAGATCTCCCACCACATGATAAAGAAATACAGATGCCATTAATGAATTTAACTTTTATTTATTTATTTTTAAGGAGAGAAGTAACCGATAAGAAGAGTGAAAGGCTATAAGAGGGAATGGAGGAGAATGAGGAGAAGATGAAAAGCTGTAATGGGCAATCTATGGAGGATCAGAAGCAGAAGATGGACACTGTTGTTTATAGGTGCAGAGAAGAGAGATTTGGCCATCGATGAAGATAGGGAAAAAGAAGAAGAGAAAAGTTAAGGCCCATCAAACTGAGTCTCTATTCTCTCGTTCGTGAATCACAGAGTGAGGAGAGTACCTGAAAATTGGTCAAATTTTAAGCACAGAGACAGCTGTGGAAGAGATAGAATAAATAAAATAAAATAAACAGGTCATGATTGATAGGTTAAAACAATTATTATTATTATTCAATCTAAATAATTTAGCCAGATTTCCTAGCACTTTGTTTTTTATTTTTTAATTACCATATCGACATATTAAAAAATTACAAAATTCTTCAACAATTTAAAAATATGACAAAAACTATCTTTATTTTTAAGAAAATATTACAGAAATCCAATTTTTTATTCAAAATGTCATTATTTAATATTGAAAAATTTTTAATTCAAAATCTTATAAAACTGGAGAAAAATAGACATAATTAATGATTATTGTTTCAATAAATGAACAATATTTAATTTTATAGCGTTTGGCAAGAAATATCAGACGTTAAGGATATGAAAAAAATATAAATTTGACATTTTTGGTTCGTAAAAACGAAAACAATATTTCATTTTATCTCGATTTTCGAGATAAAATAAAGAAATTTTTTGTACTTCTTTTTTTAACTGAGACGTGAGCTACTAGAAAATTTTTCTAAAGCTTGACTTAAATCTTTACATCTTTTAAGAAATTGTAAACCAGCATAAAGTTTTATAAACTTATATAATTAAATTCTTTTTATTAGGTTGAAAGAAAGAAATAACAAAGTGAATAAATAATGTAGGAGGATTTTTCAATAAAAACAGGAGAGGATGTTCTCAGTTTTTTTTTTTTTTTTAAGGAATTCAAAAATTAATTTTCTTTATTAATTGTTAGGACGCATTTGTTAGTTTTCTTTTAAATATAAAAGTATTTAAGGAATATATTGCTAAGCAAAGAAAGAGATTTAGTAGCTAAAAATGAATAACATTTTGAAAGCAAAACACATGTATGGAGTTTGCTATTGTCGCTTCATTATATTATAATTATAAAACCTTCAAATTTATGTAATACAAGATAGTGTTCGCTATACAATAAGGATGAATGCTTATTAGTTTGTAATTACTTAAAAATGATTTTTTTACAAAATAAATGATTTTTTTCTTCTTTAAGGTAAAAAAATATATATATTACAATTATATTTAATTGTTCATGACTATCATAATTATGAAGTAATTAACTAAATTACAAAAATTTTAGGTCATTTTTTACAATGAATTAAGTGAATCCATTTAACAATTCTTAATTAATTATTTGCTACAAAGTGAAAATATTTATATTCTTTGAGATAATAATATATTTTTTGAGCGAGTAATTGTACAATAATATTGTAACTAGTATAACGTGTTGCATACGTGACGTCAAGGGTTCGACAAATGCTTTAGGAAAGATAAGAAAATAAAAAAAGAGTTATCATCTAGTACTAGGAAACTAAAAAATCCAAAATAATTGATGTACATAGGATCCTAGTAAAAGGTTGGTTATACATATGAAAAATTAAATCATCGCTACCATGTCCTACTTGAACTAGGCTAAATTGCATGCATGTTCAATGTCAATGTTTGATCTTACTATGCTACAAGTCTATGCCTTTTCAAGTGTGATTTTCTTTAAATCGAAATAGATTAATTGAGTGATTTAGAAATTAGGTCGATCAAAAGCTTGTTTCCACATTCTAAATAAAAGAAAGAAATGTTTAAGAAATGGCGAGCCACTAATGGCTACGACTCATAACACGAAAATTGATGAGCCACTAATAGTCGTGAAACCATAACATAAAATTGGTAAAATTGGCGAGTCACTAATGGTCGCAAGCCCATAACATAAAAATCCACGTATTACCTTTAATTACTTATAGATGCGACGTGTCAACTCTTAGAGCTAACTCCAATAAATTCAACATATTTCACATATACCACATTTTAATTCATCACAAAGGTGGTGTTAACTTTTAGAACTAACTTTGACAAATTCATCACATACCACATCTAATTCATCACAACTATAATGTTAACTTTCGCAGCTAACCCGATCAATTTATCGCATTCCACATACCATAACTAATTCATCACAAATACATGTTAACTTTCGAGTTAACTATGACCAATTTGTCACACTCACACATACCATGTTTAATTCATCACAAATATCGCATTAACTTTTAGAGTTAACTTTGACCAATTTGTCACATTCCACACACACCATATGTAATCGTTAAATAATGCAAACAACACATATGAATACCACATTTTACTAGCAACACCACACAAGTAACTCAAACATTGTATTCAAATCAATTATATCACAAGATGAAAACAAACATGCTCAATTACACATATCGAAACCAACACTCATCCCAAATAAACCATTTGAATTAAAACTCATTCTCAGTCCTCTCGACTCCATTACGAGCATTGACAACAACCTTATTTCTTCTCAATATAACTATGGTCTTAGATCCTTCGAGTTCAACACACAATAGCATATCTCAATTGTACTTCAAAAATCCAATAATTAGCGAATATCATAATTTATTTTCAACATTATCCATCCACATTTAAGTTCGAATAAAATGTAGAAACAAAGAAAAAACATCAAAAACTCACATGATTAGTCAAAATGTCTAAACTTCCCTTTCCTTAGAAAAAAACCAAACTCGCCTTTATATGAAATGACAAAACTACTCGCATTAGTAGTTTGTTCCCGGAACTCGATTAGATCATATTTTAGTTATTCTAACAAGTTAAAGTTGTTGAAAAAGATAGGTGAAACCCCTATCTACCTTGCGATAAAGACAACAACTAGTGCTATCGACCTAATAGGGAGGGAAAAATCACCACTATCGAATTTGTCCTCCTCTTTTGCTTGCTCTAACAACATAAAAAAACATATATATTTTTTTAGAGATTAAAATTAGCTAAAAATTGGCTTAAAATCCAAATAAAACCCAATTTTTTCAAAGAAATCAAATGGATAAATAGGTTTGAAGGCTAATTTTAGATAATTAAATATTTTTTCTTTCACACACCATCATCAATTCGGATTGCTTTTTTTTTTCAAATTTAGATTTATTTTTTTTAGGCTTTAAGTTCCTAATTTGAATTGGAATTTGGTTTTAGAGAGTGGAGGTTCACGAGGCTACGTGGTTTGTTTAGTGGGTCGGAGGTAATGTGGTTGGTGATGACGAGTCTAGGTTATTTTAAAAGTTGTTGTTTTGGAAAGGTTTCACGAGTGTCGGGTTTTGAGTTTCGAGGTCTGCTAGGTTTACATTTTTTTAGGCTGAATGGGTGGTAGCTATGAGTGATGTTTCGAGGTTGTTTATTTTTTGGGCGACTAAAATGACTAGTACTACTAGGTTTAGGTAGAGGAGTGGCTAAGGCTACTGGGTTTTGGTAGAGGAAGGTGATGCATGTCGAGCCCAATCAAAAATAAATTACCTTAGCTCGATTTTCTAAACTTTAGATAAGATAAGTAAGGGTTGATCCTCCGGGAACTAATTTGACCAAATCAAGAACAAAAAAAAAAGGATTTTGTTTTGTTTTGTTATATAAACATATTTAAATCAATAAAGAAAATTCAATTAAGAAGATATTGATTCAAGGGAACGACTCATGATTATAAACTAATCATTGACCATATGTATTTATAGACACATTTTTTTCATTTAGGTATTTAACCAAAGATTATCAAGAAGCCTAACAATCTTTACTTCCCTAATTTCATCAATCCGAGCCCAACACCCAAACTAAATCTTATTAAACAAATAATTGGTATTAAATAATCCTCAAGATTCGATTGATAGCAGCTTACGAACTAAGAAGGAGTTAAAGATGAATAATAATTTAACAAGGTTAGATTATTTAATTCATTATGTATATCGTTTTAAGCAAGTCATAAAAATTAGGATCATAATTGTCTTGCTTAATTGCTACTCTAATTGAAAATTATAATAATTACGGATTAAGATCTCAATCTAGAAATAGGTCATAAAATTAAATCAATTCATATGCATCTAATCAGTTCAATCATATACAATTAAAATAAAAGATACGAGATACTTGAATAGAAAATACTTGACTAATATGAAGAACAAAGTCCACGATTTACTAAACAGATTGAAGTTCTTTGAATCAATTAATATTTTTTAGCCGGACATGAGTGAATAACAAAAAATTATTGAATAATTCAAAGAAACATCCTAGAGGAAGTAGATAGAGTTTCGCTCCTTTTCAATCCGAGTTTTATTTTAAAAAATAACGTAATGATAGAGTTTGAAAGTTACTCGCTCCTAAATTATCTCCTGGAAATTAGGATCTTGATTTCCTATTCTGTCTTTGTTGCCACATATGGACCGGATGCATTTTAATCGATGTTTCTCTCTTCAAGAAAGTTATAGCCCCACTTTTTGAGGCACCAAGCATTTCCCAAAACAAAGGCTTAAAACTTGAGTTATGGGCCAAATACTAAAACCATGTAGGATAGAAATCCTAGTCCGGTTAGGATTCGGCCAACTTTTCCAATTTAGACTTTGAATCACTTTTGGAGGGCCAAATGAATTTAGATTTTGACGCATCATATCATTCTAAAAAGTTTGAGATGTCTTAAAACCATAGAAGACTACAACTTCCAATTCCAATGCTAAATATACTAAAAACCTAAAATAAAGGTAGAAGGTCTAAGTAAAAACATCCTGGAGTTCTTAAATTTTAAGACAATTGCTCCTAATTCCAAATTTATATCTTATAAATGAATATGAACATTAATTAGCCTATTAA